CCCAGACAGTGAAGCCAGTGGCCAAGCCCTTCCTATACTGCTTCATGGAGCATTGTTCAGACCAAGATCTAAAATCATGTGGCAGGGGTGATGGAGGGATAGCTGCAGCCCTCCCCTGCCAGTCCCCAGGAGTGCCTGGAGCCATGTTGTGGGGAGTTAGAAAGCCCTTGAGGAAGCCAAAGAGTCTGGGGGAAGCTGATGTACCAAGACCCAGGCTCTCCACAGGAAGGAAGCAGGAGCCGGAGCTATTGTTGGTGTTGGGGACAACACTGAGGTGGTATGTTGAAGGCTGACTCTCTCTCCAGCTCCTCACCTCAGCCCCCTCCAGCCTCAGCTCTACAAGGATCTAGTGAGCACCTTCTACCAATGAGGCTCTGTGTCAGATGCTAGGGACACAGGAAGAGACAGGTCCCTGACCCGGAGAGAGGAGGCACTACTGCAACCTACGTGAGCAACCCCGTGAACGCAGTGCAGCTCACACTTAAGCACCAGGCACACTCTGTGTGATTCCCTCCTTTACCCTGTTAGCATCATCCCCATTGGACAGATAAGGGAACTGAGATGCAGAGAGGTTAAGTCACTTGCTGAAGATAGTAGAGCCACTATGTGGTACTGCTGAGACTGCACTACACTCCAGTGCTCCCCCCCTTCCCATCCCTTGCCATCCCCAGAGGCCCCCTGTCCACAGCCTTTGCACTCTGTGGGAAGAATGAATGCAAGGGCACCAGGCCCACAGTGGGAGGAAAGGCATTCCGGGCAGACAGGGAAATAGAAGTAGGCTGGTGTTGTTTGAGCCAGAGGCTCAAGAGGGGGTGCGTAGACCCCTGTGCGCATACCGGAAGGGATATGCTTTCAACAGTTGTGTGCGCAAGGGTCTATGGCTGTTGCGATCAAGATGGGACCATGCTGGTGCGCTAACAAACTCGGGAGGTTAGCTTCAGAAGAGCCCTGACCTGTTTCCCCCACTAGTTATGACCTCAGCTCTCTCCCCCTGAATCGGGGTTTCCTCCAAAACATACTCAGTCCTTTAGGCACCAAAGGAGCCCCATTCTCATCCTCAGGTGATCTTGGTTTTTTTCTGTGGAACCCTGTCCCACAGGCCTGGGGCGTGGCCCTCCTTGCTTTCAATGTGGGGAGTGCCACAGACTCCTGCAGCCTAGGACAGCCAGCATGCCAGGGAAGAACTCGGAGAACAGGGGGCTGAAATGGAAGGGAAAGCACCTTGGGGGGCGTCGGGGGTAGAATGGCAGGGACCAGGGCAGCGGGAAGCTCAGCCCCTGGTAGCTGGGGCAGGTTGAGTTACTCCACCTGGGATGGGAGTCGGGGTAGTTCCAGGGACACCTTCTCAGGCTCATTCCTATCAAAGGCACCACTTGCGCTGAGGGCAAGAGGGGGACGGAAGCCGATTCCAGTGCTGAGTGGGCTCTAGAGGTGCAGAGGATGAAAAAGAGCGCTGACAACCGAGCAGGGCTCACCAGGCCCCTCCTCTCAGAGGCTTTCCCAGACCTAGAACCTGAGCGCCCTCAGGAACTGCCTTGCCCCTCTCTTAGCAGTCAACCTTGTCCTTGTCGTGTGGTTCCTCCTGGACTAGTGTCATCTCTGCTACCAGTGTCTTGTCCTCCCATGCTGAACCTCCCACAGGGTGGCCTCCAAAGGACGCCCCCCATCTAGCCTTCATTGCAGTCCCAGACGATTCCTTCCTCTCGCCACAGCCTCATGAGGGAGGAAGGATTCTCCCCATTTCTCAGATTTTACAGGAGAGAAGACTGGTGGGGAGAGGTAAGTGAGGAAGCCAAGGTCATTCAGTCATTGCTGGAACGTAGCCTCGACCCGGCCTTTCTTCTGCTGGACCGGTGGGGCCCTGAAAACGCGGGCCCAGGCTGCTGGCCCGCGTCCCTCTCTTCTTGGCGGGTATCCGGGGGCCCGACCGGCCCGAATGGCAGGTAAGCCCTGGTTGGCACAGGAGGGGGGTTGGGCTGCGCAGGGACGGTTGGCGCGAGGGCCTTGGGCGCCGCGGCCGCCGGAGCCCACTGCTGCGCCAGGTCTTCCGAGGAGCCGCATCCCAGGTCACGATTGGGCGGGTGCGGTGGCCCAGGTCCCCTGCATGCCCCTGGCCTGCCGGCCAGGCCCCGCCCCCCGGCGGCACGGGCGGGGGCAGGGGCGGTGCCGGCGGAGTGGGGCACGGGCGCGCGGTACTCGGTGCGCGCCTCCGCCCCTCCGGGCCAGCTTGCCGGCCCGCTCTCCCAACCCCCTCGGCCCGCTCTGCTCGCCCCCACCCCTCCTTCCACTCCTTGGCCCGCCGGCCCGGCGGCCCGGTGCGCAGGGCAGTGCGACGATCGCGGCCTGGCGATCGGAGCACGGCGGTCGTGGCGCGCGAGGCTCGGGGCGCGAGGCCAGACCTGGCGCCGCGGGGTGTGTGGGGTGGGCAGCGGAGCAACCCCCAGAGGAGAGCAGGGGCAGGCAGGGGGGTGCCGAGGTAATGGGCAGGGCCTGGGCGCCCGGCTGCGAGGGGCGGGGGCTCCAGGCGCGCTTCGGCCTTGGCCCTGCGGGCGACAGGGCGTCCGGGGCTGCGGGAGGACAGCGGCTCGGGGAGGGCGGGAGGGAGGAGACCGCTGGGCTGGGCCGGGGGGCTTGGCCGACGGGGAGCAGGTGGGCGGGGACAGGGGCCCTGCTGGAAGAGGCGCAGCAGCGAGGTGGCGGGCTGCGTGCGCAAACAGGGCGGCCGCCTCCTGGGCCCGGAGAACGGTGAGGCCGCTTGGATTGGGCGCCGCAGCCCCAAGGGCATGGTTCAGTGTCCAGGGCCGCCGAGCTGGGCTCTGGCACTGTTGGGGAGGGGGGATCTGGAGGCTTGGCCGGCCCAAGGCTTTGGGGGTCTTGAGCAGCCCCGGAGAAGTGTTGCTGGGCCAGAAGCAGGAGTCCCTGGGCAGGGCGCTGGTGTCCGGCAAAGGTGGGCGAGGACAGGCACTCTCAGTGCTGGCATGAATGGAAGGGGACAAGGGGGCCCCAGAGTTTGAGTTTCAGCCTCATTTGGGAGCTGCCTTGTCACTGGGTGGGTTGATGAGTCATGAGATTTGGAGATCACAGAACCCTTTCTTGGCGATCAGTTCTGAGTGACAGAAATAAAAAGGGCTAGGGTTCGGAGAAGTGGTTTGGAGGCCATACCTTGGGCCCCCAGGTGCACTGGTGGCCACCAGGCTTCATGCGAGGGACTTTGGGAGCCGTGCCCCAGAGTGCTGTGATTCAGAAGCTTCAGCCTGGGGTGGGGTTGAGGAAGGTCTTTGTGGTGGCCAGTTTCCCTCTTTCCTTCCTCTCCAGGCTGCCAGGATTCAGCTGTGTTCCTGTGGGGAGTGGGTTAAAAATTCCTTCAGCCTACAGTCAGCTTTACAGTAGCCACCAGAGGCAGGAGGGACATATACATGCGTGACTGCAGCATCATTCCCTGTCGTGGAGCCCTCATGCTCGCTTCCTCATTGTTGCCATAGTAACTGCCTATTGATGGTGTATTTATAGGGGAAGAAGCAGGCGCTAAATTTTGGGGGTAGGAAAAGGCCTCATGGCAGGCCGCAGCAGCAGTGACGGTGGCCACAGAATTGCCAGTGGAGCTGTTTAGGGGACTTCCTGGCTCGTTTGAAGCCTGAAAATGAACTAAGGACTTCAGCAGGTGTGTCAAGATAACACGCATTTGGGTCTATGATAGGTGTGGGTGTGCATGCACCAACGTTGGGTGTGTTTGGGACCAGAGGTGGCTATGTGTAAGCTGTTATGTAATTTTTCTACATAAAAAGTTAAAAAACACTGCAGTTCTCTTCGATAAGCAATGAAACATATTTTTCTCTCTTCACTTATTAGTAAAGCCTTTCCTGATTATTTTCAAACCAGATACAACAGCTCCATTTTTCTTTAATCAAGAAAACCTCCACATCCACACTGCATGAACCTCAGAGATCCATGATGGAAGTAGAATTTGGAGATAATATTCCATCTTTGCTCTGATAAACACTGAGGCCAATTTTCTCACAATGCAGGCCCGTCTGTTGACAAATTCACATGATGATAGTTTTGGGTGAGGTTGTTGTGGGATTTAAAAGAGAATGCCTCTTGACATGGTGTTTCCACAAATGAATGTTAGATTTGTTGTTTTTCCTTTAGTTTTAAATTTATGATTTATATCCTACCTGTTTGCTGGAAGGATTAGAAGACATATAAATTTACAATAAGAATCTGAAAACATAAATAGAAAACTGTATACCACATCACAGGAGAGAAGCATATGCGCTCAACACCTGGGCTGTCAGGGTGCCTGTGCTTGACTGGCAATGCTAATGCTGAACTTCTTGGCAGCCCAGGCCAAAAGGGGAACACAAGGGGTTACATGGTTCACATGTCTTGCATCCAGTTAGTCATAAAACCATAGCTTCTGATTCGGGAGGGAAGCAGTGGGGTGATTGCTCCCAGATGTGGACAGCTCGGCCGGTGCTCTGGAATATGTGTGTGAGTGGGTGTGTGTGCTATGGGGAGGGGCAGGAGGAGCAATGTGCTGTGCCCCATGGTTTATGTACCTACCGGCTGGATAGCTCCTTAGCAGGAGGAAGGCTTTTGGACAGTAGCTCACATTAGAGCCAACTCTGCTAGTTAGCATCTTAGTGTTGACCATCTAAATCCATGTCTTGGTACTCTGCTGTGGTGGTCTTTAATGCAAAGAGAGGAGAGATACCTGGTTCCAGAAGATTCCAGGTATCTGCCTCCCTGTCAGGTGAAGATGAGCCCAACAGGTCATCTAGGTTCAGGCCTAATGGGTATGCACAGAGATCTCAACAATGCAACTATGTTGTGCATGGAGGGTCTGACCCTGCAGGACATGTGTCCACAGAAGTTTCTTGGAGGCCAGTCTCAACCAGGCCATGGCATCTGAGATGGTTGTTGTTCCTGCCTTAAGCTTTGTTTTCAGGGGAATGTGCTTGTTATTAGAGGTATCTGGGACTCACCATGGTGATCAAAATTAGTTCCCAATTCAGGTGCTGCTTCTGTCACTGTCGTTTTGCTTAACCTTGCTTGAGTCCCTGCATCTCTGGGCTCATTTCCTCAACTACCGCTGAGGGCCTTTCCAATGCAAAGGTGCAAAGATTCACTGAGGGGAACAAGGAAGGAGGAGCCTCAGCCTATAGGAGAGTTGGCCTTTTAAAAGAAAAAGGCCAACTCTTAGGTTTTCTAGATGCTCTGAATGTGTTCTTGGGGGACATAGCTGAAAGGTTTGCTTTGGGCTCTGCCGGGGGCCTTGAGGGCTCCGGAGATGAGCTTGGGGGAACATGAGAAGCAGTAGGAGCTGTGAGAGCTGCATAGAGGGCGCTGCAGCTTACAGGGCCCTGCTTGGACCTTTTGACCAGGCTTGGAGGGGTGGGGGGCAGGAGGTAACATCCCAGGGCCAAAAGGGTGCCCTGCAGATTTCTGGGAGTGATTTCACCACAACTTTGCTTTTCTCCTTTGCCAGGCAAGTGAGCCCCTGGAGCTGAGGGAGCATCATGGCAGGTGAGTTTTTTCCAGGCCCAGGCAGAGTGGTGGAGGGCTATGCCCAGGGGCCCATGGGAAAGGTGCGTGCCCATCTTTCAAGTCCTTCCCAGCTTGCCTGTCCCTGGGGTGGCCCTGTGGCCATTATCCAATGGGCTGAGCAGCAGCTTTGCCCTCTCAACTCTGGCTCCCTCCTGGAGCACGTGCTGGATGCACTTCCCCAGGCTGCTCGAGAGACACCAACGTGACAGGCAAAGACCTACCAGCCAGGGCACCAAGGGCAGTTGCCTGATGTGGGAACTAGGAAGGCCCACCTCTAGATGAACACTAAGAGCAAATATCACCTCTTCTTTCATCCTCTAAAGTTTCGGCTCAGGCTTACGTGGGCACATGGTTCACGTCATGCTGCTCAGCCTAGCTGGAGCTGGGGTTCTCCCTTTGCATGGAGATGTGGCTGCCACCCAAAGGCATATTTGCAGGAGGGGTCTGTGCCCAGTCTCCAAAGGCTTAGACTCCCCGTCCAGACCCTTCTACCTCCCATTCCCAGAGGCACTCTCAGGTTCATGTGTGCCCAGTCTCCTGATCTAGCCCAGCCTGTCTTGGTACTAGACTGTCTTGAGCAACACTCTTGATGCCACGTGATCTAGTAGCATAGGCAGCCGGTTCAGGTGGAGGGATGCCACCCTGGTAGAGTTTTATAGGATTATTTGGTATCAGTCTCACCAGCATCAGCCTCAAAGAGGAATACATTCTCACAACAAGGGCTCTGACTTTCTCTTTTCAAGGCGATGCAGAAGATACTGGGTATTTATTCACTGATGATTACAATACTCGAAATTCTTATTCTTTCTTTTCCTTGTGCACCATGCACTTCTCTCTCAGTTGGTTCCCATTTTCCTCTATATAACCAGGGGCCTGGGCCTCGTTGGGTCCATAGTATTCTAGACGGGAATGTATGGCGCCACAGGAAGTCAGCCCTTCCATCCCTTGGTTGGGAGCCTGGCGTCTTGCCTGCTGGCTTTGCCTTTTTTCCCCCATGATTGTGCTTCATCCCTGGATTGGGCCTGGATTGTAGGCCATTCCAGGCCTCAGTGCAGCTCTCTCTTCAGTGTTTCTGGAGGCCAAGAATGCCCACTCGGTCCTGAAACGGTTCCCTCGTGCCAATGAGTTCCTGGAGGAGCTGCGCCAGGGCACCATCGAGCGCGAGTGCATGGAGGAGATCTGCAGCTACGAGGAAGTCAAGGAGGTGTTTGAGAACAAAGAGAAAACGGCATGTACCATCCTGGGGCTGGCTTCTGGGGGTAGGAGTGGCCTCAATAATAGCGAGAGCAGACCCTGGTGTCTCAGATGGATCAGAAGCAAGGGAAGGGAAGCCACCCAGCCTAAGGCGTGGCCACGGGGCCATAGAGGAACACAAAAAATGTGATTACATTTGCAGTGCCTGACTCTTGGGGAGACTCTTCACTTGAGAGCGTTGTCCTTTGTCCTTGGTGCATTCTGCAGCTTCTCTGCTAGGTCTCCGAGGCCAGTCGGATGGGGAAGGGTGGGAAGCAGCCTTGGGCTTTGCCCAACATAATACAGCCCTGCTGAAGCCCTCTGAGGTCCGTCTGGAGTGTGAATGTCTGGTAAGTGGTGCTTCTTCTTTTGCAGATGGAGTTCTGGAAGGGGTACCCAAATGCAGTCTACTCAGTGCGAGACCCCTCACAGAGCTCAGATGCCATGTACGTGGTGGTGCCCCTTCTGGGTGTGGCGTTGCTGATTGTCATCGCCTTGTTCATCATCTGGAGGTGCCAGCTGCAGAAAGCAACCCGTCACCACCCCTCCTATGCTCAGAACCGGTACCTAGCCAGTCGCGCCGGGCACAGCCTCCCTCGGGTCATGGTGTACCGGGGCACTGTGCATAGCCAGGGGGAGTCCTCTGGGCACCGTGAGGCAGGAAGCAGCAATGCCCAGGTGGTGCCGGGGCCCAGCCGGGGGGGCAGAACCACAGTGCGACTCGAGAGCACCCTCTACCTCCCTGAGCTCTCCCTCTCCAGGCTGTCCAGTGCCACCCCTCCCCCCTCCTATGAGGAGGTGACTGCACCCCAGGAGAGCAGCAGTGAGGAGGCCAGTGTCTCTTACAGTGACCCTCCCCCAAAGTACGAGGAGATAGTGGCCGCCAACCCTGGCACCGACAAGTAGCAGGACGTGTGTCCCGTCCTGTATGAACACCTCTTTCAGAGGCCTCCTATTTTCTTTTTAACTTTTTAAAGACTGTGCCACCACAAAACAGCCTTAGCCTCCTTGTTGCCAAATAATTCCCTAACCGTGGAGTATTAGGAAGTCAGTTGTCAGAGACAGGTGGGGAGGGTGGGGTAGGGAGCATCATGGTCAAAGCCCCCTGGGAAGAGCTATAGGCCCGAGCGTCTAGCTCTTCTGAGTGCTCCCCCAAAGCCCCACCATCCTGTCCTCCTGTCAGGGACCGGCTTCTCTTATGCCAAAGGAATCAACTCATTGTGTAGATTGTGGCCAGAATGGCCACAGGCCCAGCCCCAGGGCTGTGGGGCTGGCTGGAGGCCTGTCTGTGTGTGGAAGCCTAAGCCACAGAGGATAGTGAGAGGCCAGCCTTTCAGCACCCCTCTCCCTTGACAGTTCTGTCCTTTCTGTCCTTGCTTACACTTTGAAGGCAGGGACAAGGATTGAGCAACAAACAAAATTTTTTAAAAAGTAATGACAAATAAATAAATAATGAGTACACTAGAACAAAACTCTAGAACGCAGGCCATTCCTAGGAGGCCTAGTGAAATCCATCTTACAGATCTGTGACAATACCCCTTCCCCCCACACACTGCTGGAAGGAGGAGGGGGTATGTGAAGGATGAGGGGCAGGGTCTGGATGGCAGAGCTACTTCCTACAGATTTACTAAGGGGCCCATGTGACTTTGCCTCCCCCAGACTTTGCCTCTGAAGACATGTGCACCAGCCATGCTAAAACCACTACCCACTGGCACGAGCCCACTCACAGCTCTGGAGCACTCTGCCGTGGGGCACACTGACACTCCTGGCCCTACCTATGCAGCCCATGGCCTTCCAATGGTTAGGGGGCAGGCTGGGCAGAGCCGAAGTTTTCTCCTTGTGAGGTCAATAATAGGACCCTGAGCTTGGCTTCCTTGGCACTGTGCTCTCTGGCTTTGAACTTTTAGGATACTTCTCTTTTTGTGAATAGGTGCATTGAAATTGAACTTCAGATTGATGATTTCTCCTTCAGGATGGTGTCCACCTGGGGAGAAGATCCTAAACTGTCCCTTTTTAAACATTTCTTTGTGGGGGAGCCCATGACCTGGAGCCAAAGGCCCATCTGGGGTTTGCTCTGTCGGCCTGTTTTCTGTGAGGCTTTGGACAGCAGTGGGACAGAGATGACCTGCTGTTTAACTATCAGTGACTGTGCAAAAGATTCTGTTGACACCACCTCCCCCCACTCCCACCTCCATCCTCTGGCCTTAGCACCAAACAGTTTTTTCCTCTGTGGTGCTTTAAAAAATGTAGCAAAGTTTTGTGCGGCCCAAAAGAGTACACAGCCTAGGTCCATTGGCAACCACAGTGGTTTAAAACCCCCTCAATCGACAGACAGCTTCTTTCTGTCTAAACAGCTCTCCAAGGCAGACATTGTGATTCAGTCTTTGAATACAGCCCCGCCTTCAGGCCACAGATGACTTCTGGAGGCCCCTTCAGGCCTGGGGATTTGCCCAAAACTGTGCTTCAAGTCAGGAGGCCCATGTTCTGATCCCAGTGAAGCCACCAGCTTGGATGGCTTGCTCAACCCTGCAGCCAGAGTTTTCCACCCTCCCCGTACCTGACAGGGCCCATGGAAGCTGAATGACTTAATGCCTGTGAGGTGCTTGAGGCACTAGGGAGCCAGGGAGGTTAACCCTTAGGAAGATTCTTCTGGAAATGTGTCAGTTATAAGGGACCAGTCTTAGCAGAGGCCCTCCATATGTCTCTGATATCGAGTCTCCACCTGGGGAATCAATCACCTGCCAATTGACGTTTCTGTTCCCTTGCCCCTCCCCGCTGCAAAGCTCCAGACATGCTGACCAGGTGGCATTCCACCTTTCCTGCCTTCCTCCTTCCCTCCCCTGCCCTTCCTCACGAAGGGATTTTTGGCCTAGAAGGCCCCCATTTTTTCCTGGCAGAGGCTGGGGCCCATTCCATTTGGCCACGTTGGACAACCTGGGGCCAGCCCCAGCTCTCCCAGTGTTTTCTCAAGCAGGTGCCCAAGCGCAACCTGGGAGCTGGAGAGAAGATACTCACCCCAATGCATCTGCTTGCCAGTTAGCACGGAGCCAGACGTGGGCCCCAATGATCAGAGCCAAGAGATGCCCTCTGCCTTTGGCATCTGTTGTGCCCTTCCCTGCTGTGCCGCCCAATAGCTTGAGGCTGGGTGGTGGCGGGAGAGAGTAGGAAGTGGAAGCCTGGGGACTAGCCCGTGGAGGGCATCATGTGTCCTTCAGGGGCTGGGGACAGGCCATGGGGAGAGCCAGAGGCAGTTCCTTAAGGCCCATGGTCTTTGGTTCAGGTGCTTCACAGCGTCCTTCCAGGTGGGCTTGCACCACAGTCTCTCGGATGGTTTTGCAGCACACAATGGGCATCACTCCTGCGGTGCACACTTGGCTTGTGCGAATGCCGTGTACATATCTTTTCAAACTCTGTCTTTGTGTGGATGTGGATTTGATACAATTCTAACTGTTCAGTAGCCACATTTTTGTTGTTTTTGGATTTGTATGTGTGTGTGTGTACACGTGTGCATGTTGCCTTTTCTCATTGCTTATCTGAAACAATAGCCGGTGTGCGGCTATATTTGTACCAGGAGGATCCGGTCTGAAGGGAGGAATGTCACCTCCTGGGGCTGGGCAGCCTGATGACAGGGCCCTGAGTGGGGAAAGCTGAGATTAGCTATTGGAGCCCCCCCAAAGTCGCCACCTTCTGCCCCCTCACAAAAGGCTTTGGAAGAAGATAAAGTAGCTCCATTCTGTGGGCCTCCGCCCTGTAGGACCGGCTCACACGCCCTTTTGGCACAGTGCCCTCTGCCTGGGCTCCTATTCTGTGGGCGTCAGCAGCTGAAAGAAATCTGAGCCCTCCTGGGCATTTTGTTTCTTTTTATGGAAATATGTGTGACTATTGACTCTGGGTATGGTGGGGTTAGTTATTTAGATATTTTTCATTAAAAAAAGAAAGAAAAGGCTTTAAAAAATTCCTTGAAATATGACTGTCCATTGTTTTCAACCAAAAACTTTTTAAGGCTTTTTAAAACAAGAATCAAAATCCTGTCCCTCCCCTGCTCCTCATTGCTTTGGGTTTTCAAAATGAAAGCACAAGCACAAGAATGGGGTACACAGGTGCCCAGCGTGCGCACGCCCCTGCATAGCTGCATCGCGCCCTGGCTGAGGGAGGCTGGATGCTGAGCAGTCTGAGCTGGGAGGCTCCGGCCTCTGCTCTCTGCCTGTCCCTCTGCCATTAGTGTCTATTCCTTAGGGTGCTTTGGAAAACAGGAATCTGCCCGACTTGTTGGACATTGCCTTTTTGGTAGCCTGAATGTGAGGAATTCAAGACAGGAAAGTGTCTTTTTGTTAAGTAGTTGGAGCCAGATGCTTCCCCTCTCCCCAGCCAGAGTTGATCCTTTGACAACCAAATGGCATCCTATGAGAAGAGGAAAAAAGAATCAGCACTGCCTCTAGATTGTTCTTTTGTCTGAGAGACAGAGAGAGAGATATCAGGGAGAGAGGCCCTCTCCCTCACCCAGGCTCTGTGTTTGTAGGATTGAGAGAGTGTTCAGTCTCCCGTGGACTCTCACGGTCAAGGCTGAGATGGAGAGCTTGGCCTCAAAGCTGCAGGCCTCGGAGGCTTTTCAGATTGACAAGTAATGAAGCTCCATTTCAGGACTTCACCAGTTCAGAAACAAGCACATCCTCCCCCACTGAACTCTACTGATACTAATCACCATAATTAGCTAATTTAAAAGTACTGTAATCAGACTGCTGGCAACTACAGTAAAAGCCCATTAATTTGAAGCCCACTAATTCAGAACTTAGAGCAAATCACAACTTAAGATAATTCACAGTAGCTGGGATTCTTGCTACATTAAAAATATTCTTCCCTTTAGTCAATTTTCAGGGTCTTCTGTGTAAGAGGAATCCAGTTTAAAATGAGTACTTTTTTCAAAGAAAAGGCTCAAGATATTAAGGATCCCTTCACTGTGCCTTCAGCTTTGGGGTTCAGCACTTCTCGTATGTACAGGGTGATCCCTTGTTCTCTCTCCGTTGAGGGGATGGTGGGTATTGCAGCCTTTCACTCTACTCCTTTATTTATCCTGTGAATAGCATAGTTAGTGAACTAGACTGCAGTTTAAAGTAACACACGTTATGTATCTTTCTAAATATTCTGTCGAGCAGATGCTTTGCTATCAGACTGGCCACGCCCATCATTTGCCCCCAGATGTGCCAACTTAGGGAGCTTTCCCTTTCGCAGGCTGTGGGCGGCAAGTCTCTCTCTAGCAAGAATTTCTCTGACAAAGATCTCCAAACAGCACACCCCCTCAGGCTCAACGCCTCCCAGTTGTCACACTGTGCTGCCATCTGACCCTGAACAGTGCCTGCCCCAGCTGCTTCTGCCTCCCAGTCGTCTCCCCTTACAAATGCCGCGTTCCCAGGCCTGGACACACATGCTGCTTCCCTCTGTAATTGTGAATTTATGACAGTGGAAACCTTATAGAAATGATTGCTGTGAAATGGAGCAATTTTGGTACCACTTTAAACTGTGCTGTATTCCTGTGTTGACCCTGTCCGCATTCAGTAATATGTCAGCGTTTCACTGGAGCCTGGGGGCAACTTGCTTCTGATTCCTTTCTCTTTCTCTCTCTCTCTTTTTACAATTGTTGAGTTTAGCTGTTAAACTTTGTCTCTTTCTGTACAAGAAAATAGTGAATAATAATAAAGAGTAAATGATATACACTTGAATCCTGTCCTCATCTATCTTGGATACCTGCTGACTCCTAGACTCCCATGGGTATGGATGGTTGGGTCAATCTGGTTTGTCCAAAAGTCAGACTGTAGATAAGGAAACAGCCCAAACCAGTTTAGGAGCAGGAAGCAGAGATGCCCTGGGTCCTAAAGTTTGTCCTCGTGCTATGTAAGATGATCTCCTGACCCTTCCCCCTGTGAGGAGGTTAGTAAGATCTGTCACAAATCACAGTTAGCAACTTCCCTGTCACCTGATCCCCAGTTACTAACAGTGTCCCTTGCTAGAAGGATGCCCTTCTTGATTTCAAAGCTGAGGGAGGGGTGAGAGGGACACGTACTCAGGCTTTGCCTTGGCTGGGCTTCCTGAATTTTGAGGATGGCAAGGGTCACAGGTGGTTCTGAGGGCAATGACGCCTCAGCCTCTGTGCAGAGGAAACTGGTCTTAGCCCCAGAGGCTCCCAGCTGTTGGTGTGGAGATAGATACAGCCATGGGAAGTCGCTGGCATAGGTTGTACCAATCACCAGTAATGAAAGTAGTCCATGCTTTAATAGGGAAAGCCCTGGCAGTGGTGGCACAATGGTAATGAAATTTAGGGCCTCCTTAGAGTATTGAATGTGGAGGCTGAATGCCAAGAATGGCAGGCAGAGGCCTTGGCCTTCCTTCTTGTCCCAGGCTGGGAAGTGAAATGAA